GGGGTCTTGGTACGGCCCTGAATCCCTGTTTAATGCAGGATTTGGCATTCGCGTCCAGAGCTATATACAGAGCAACTGCTGAAGATAACTCCCTGTGGAGGACAAAAGGTCTGCATTTAACGGTCAGGAGCTCAGTCTGGTAAGTGTTGTTAGCTCATTGTTCACTGATATAAATGCAAAGACCTCGTCGTTTCTAGAGTTCAGATTTAAATTTCAATCAATGTTGTTGAATAATTTTGACCTATTTTCTGATGTTTTTTTTTTTAAATATACAAAATTACGTTCACATATGTTTACGCCGGTTTGGAGGGAATGTCCCCAAACATGAATAAAAGACTTCAGAATTTATTTTTCAAGTCTGAGAGAAAATTTCTAACATTTCTGTTGTATCAGATCTTTTTGTACAATTCTTTATAAACTTACCTGAAACTTATTTTTTGTTGTAAATATTTTCATTGAAAAAAGAAAACAACACAGTACTTGCGTTTACCGAAATACAGTTAACCTTTCTTCATTTTCCTAAGTTAATATACTTATATACACACTCTAAGACAAAGGCACCCCCCCAGTCCCAAATGGATCAACACAACCATGAAACATATTGCTGGAATATAACAGTAATAGAGGTACATTTATAAGAAATAAAAGGTTGCCACTTGTGAAACAATTTGGCTGTGCAACCTCTCAACGTATATTTAATTTTTTCAAGTTAGAAAAAAAAAAAAGACATCTTCAAGGCACTGGGAAATGGTAAGATACTTAACAGACTTCCAGTGCAACAATATTAGACGTCTCGCTAATAGGATGTGAAAGCTATGATATCCTTTTGGGTAGAATCAAGCGTAAGTGAGCAATCCGGAATCCCGAATGTAGCAATCAGGGGACAAGGATGATAAGTTAACCCCAAGAACAGTTAACATAATAGCAAAATACCCTGTCCAGAAACCTTCCAGCACAGGACACCGAATAAACATGTGGTTAAGGTGACAAGGAGAGCCATGACATTTATCACATTTGTTTTCCACTTCTAGAAAAAATTCAGAAAGTCTAGATTTAGAGAAATGTGCCCTGTGTATGACCTGAAATTGAATAAGTCCAAGACGAGCACAGGAGGTGGAAGACCGTCCCCTCGCTATAGCCTGTTCCCAAGATTCCTCATGTATTTCATGTATTCCTAGTTCCTCTTCCCATGTACACTTAAGCTTAACATTTGAGTGGTTGCTAAAAGACGGATAGTATCATAGAGTTTCGAAATGGTTTCTCTGTGATGAGGAATAAAT